AACTAACTGGTGTTATGTGTCAAATTAACTGACATGTTAGCTGGTGGAAATATATATATATATATAATCTCTTTTTTATAATAAATATTCAAAAACTTTATTTAAACTAAGATTTTAAAAATATGTGCAGTGATTGATGTGCTTTCAGGCACATGCTTCAATCCACACACAAATACAAAACGATCTGACCACACGTACAACTGTTTCACAAACTCTATAAAACATTCACACTCCAACGGATGCATCAGAAAGCAACTTGGGATTACAATCTTGTCCAAGGATATTTGGCCTGCAGATTGGAGCAGCCAGGGATCAAACCAGAAAACTTTCTGATCAAAAGCTGACTTGTGCTAAATCCTGAACGGCAGCCACCCCATTTTAGCCAGCCAAGATTAAATGGCGAATTCTTTAATTACAGAGTTAGGTATTGTTACATGGAACTCAAAAGAAATGTTGAACCCATCCAGTGGCGTGTCTAGAAAAATTTTGTTGGGGGGGCCAGGTAGGGGCATAGATTTGGAGAAGGGTGGCAGATGTAATTGGCAGATAATGTTAAAAACAATTCTACCAACCGTTAACCATAATTCAATAACCCTATAAACCTAATAACCGAATGCGCTTTTAACTCTTATTAGAATGAGATTTTAACCACTACGGTGCAAAGTTTTTAGATACTGTGTTGATAAAGTACAAGAGATACAATCAGTCAGTGTTTATTCAGCAGTCAAGGACATCAATATTTGCATAGTATTTTTACTGACGTGTAGTGCACATATGTTTCGGGCAAAAACATTTTCGAATATTAAAATACGAACATGTACAGTAAGATAACAGGAATTTGCATTACTTGAAAATTAAACAAACACACTTTTTAAAAAAAATTTAAAAAAATGAAACATTCTGTAAGGTAAAAACAATGTGTAATGTAAATGAGTTATACTCCAAAGAGGTGTAAATCATGACATGCTTGCTCGGCGTAACCACTGTTTCACAGTATTTATGTTAATAAAGTTCGCATGACCTGCTGTCATCTATTACACAATCTGAAGATCCCACTTCCTCTTCCTCACATTTAATCTGATGACTGCTGGTGTCTCTTTTTTGTTGCAGTGATGATCGATTGATTAGTAAGAATGTGCAACTTTATGATTGGATCCCCAAAAAACTAGTCATCACATACAGTACTGCGTAAAAGTCTTGAGCCACCCATTATTCTTTATGTCTTGGCAGGTGGATGATTTATTGAAACATACATGGATATACATATACAGGATATACAGTAAAAACAGAGCTTGTACTATTCTAACGAGCTTCAGAGTGAATATTAAGTATGAGTGCCTTTATTCTTCAGCTCTATGTCAACTCTGTGAGGATCTTCAGGATCAGTTCTCCAGGGTTCATGAAGGATGTTCAAAGCTCTTTTTTGGATGTTTCTGCCTTTTGTTCTGTTCTCTGTCAGGATGATCTCACAGAGATCTGGCTCTGGGGAGGCCCATCCATGACTGATAGTGTTCCCCTATATGTTCTTCTATCCAGGTATGATTTAATTATTAGCAGATGTGTTCCAGATGGTGGATCAAACTGATTGTATTTTTCTTCCTTCATAATTCATCTGTTTATCAAAGATCTCCAACATCACAGACTGACCTACAGCTGAGACCATAACAGAGCAATCTGTCTGAGAGACTGCAGTCAGTCCAAATTGGGCTGCAACTGTTTGGAGACGGGTTGCCTCCCACCAGACAATCTGTGCAGTTACTCTGCAGTCAAAAGACGCTGAGGGTGTTACACGATCAACATCTGAGCCTTTAGTTGGTTTAGTTGGTTGCTGGAACTACTTGCAGTTTGTCATCAAACAAAAAAGAAAATTCAGTGTAATCACGGGACAACCACAGATTTATCTTTCCCTCAGGGGTGGGGGACTCTAAATTGCATCCTCAACATGTCTTGAAGTTCTCCAGAGGCCTGGTAATGAACTGATCATTTGATTCCGGTGTTTTGACCCAGGGTGATATCTAAAACCTGCAGGAGACGGGGCCTTGAGGCTGGAGTTCCCCACCCCTGCTCTAGTCCAATATGATAAAAGCTAGCTTGGCTCGTACTAACTGCTAATGGAAGGAATCCGGTCTTTGGGTGATGACATGATGAATCCTGCTTCCGGGCCCAAACTACTCTGTGTTTAATAAGGCTTTTGTGTTTTTTACATGTTTTAATGCTTTGTATCTTGTTCTATTTAATCTCAACAAGCCCTAAAAAACAGTCAGTGATCACTGTCGGCTTCTCTCGGGTTTTATTACCACTAATCATTTTAAAGCTCAGTTTTCAAAACCTTATGATGTAACTGCAGTCCAGCCCATGCAGCAGTATATTAATAACTAATCTCGTATTGTGGATGGATTATCTCAGCTGTTCTCCCGACTGAAGTTCGGTCCGTTTACAGCATCCTGCCATGCGATTGCATTTGTCCTGAACCTTCGGAAACACTCACGTTTACTTTGAGTGGAAAAAAGTTAGCGTTCATCATCTAGCTTCTCTGTTTATATTATGTTAACATAGCTGTGTCGCTAGCGATCAAGTAGCACATCATTATATACCAGCTAACCCAATTTCAGTAACCCTACAAACGTCACTATTTTGTTTTCTGTCTTTATTTATGTTGGAATTGATAGCAGAGCTGTACGTTTTAATTTGTTTTGCAAATCTCTCATTCAGAACATGCTATATTTTATTAACAGATAAGTTACGGAATAGAGTAATCTCAAGAAACATCCTTCAGCTACTTTTTTACTTTTACTTGAGTAAAGAAGTTGAGTCAGTACTTCAACTTTTAGTGGAGTATTTTTAACAGTAGTTTATGAACTTTTACTTAACTACAGAATGTCTGTACTTTTGCCTCAAATGGGAATGTCTGACTAGCTGATGGTATAAATTTCTGGCTTCAGACTAGTTTTTGCACCTTTACTGACAGTATAGTTGCTCGGTTAACATCTCTCACTTACTTTTGCTCTCTGCCTTTCAACCTGCATTAAAGAGAACATCTCAAAGGCAAAGTATGGTTTAATGCCACCCAAGCAGATCAATACTAAAACTCCATCCCTTTTAGTTACATTAATTAAATTTCCTGCAGCAGGACATTCACTTTAGTTAATTTGTGTGAAAAAAAGCAAAGTAGAAAGTTGTGATTTAACATAAACTTTATTTTACAGTTATTACATAGGAGAGAGAGATTCTTAAGCATTCTGGGCCTGAGCTGCCATCATTCGCTCTTTTTGCTTCATTAGACATTTCCTTGCACTGGCATAAGCTCCCAGGTCTCCATCTACAAAGAGGAAAGATGACAATTTAATACATGAAGCGGCTGTGCAGCAAAACAGAAAAAGCTCTACAAAAATCAGGAAATCACAATATGCAAAAACCCAAATCTCCTTTACATAGGAAAAGAAAAGCAAACTCAAACTCAAAAGCTGGAAACAATGACACTTAATGATACATGTTGTGTGCCATGACTGAACACTTATTGCTTATAAACTGCACACATCAAAGCTCTGGAACAGCTCAGTACTTACAGCGTGACTGGAAGTTCTTTGTCACCTCATTGAACTGCTGAATTTCCTTAGCACAGTTCTGCTGGTAGCTGTGTCCTTCTCTCTGCTGGCAGGCCCTCAAACGCTCCTGGATCACCTTCACGATCTCCTGATCCACTTTGCTGAGGGACAAGACAGAAACACAAGGGGATTTTCATTTTCTGTCAAAGTCTGTCAGACAGACTTGCCATCTTCTGATCTCTCCCAAATTGTTATGTGTCTTTCAGTCTGGCTGACTGGAATGCTCTAATGCTGCTTGAGACCGTTCTGAAGCCAGCAAGCACCATACTGGCAGTTTGCTTTGTGTCATTGTGCTACAAGGTGAACTGCTGCCCCCTATTCATGTTACTGCACTCTGGTAAACACAGTTTCTTTAATGTTCTCCTATATTTGGCTACACTCATTATTTTTTATTTATTTAATGCAGTACACATTTTTTTTATAAAATGAATTTTGAGCTTTGTAAATATTTACTCAATCACTTTCCACCCTACTGATTAAAAAAAACCAAAAAAAACCAAACAAAAAAAAAAAACAGTGAATGAGAGTTTTTTGATGTCAGAGGGGCATGCTAACAAAACTTGTACTTCCTGACCTGCACCATGTTATTTATTCAAAATGCCCACAAACCTTTCGACAAACATGAAGCCCAAAAGATGAGGTTGTGATGTGAGTATTTTGCGTTTTTGTAGACGATTTTACGACTTATATGTTGAGATTATCTAGGCATAATGTAATATGTGTTTGATTCATTAACAGTGTGTGTGTTACACTTGTGCCTCCACTCAAGTTGAAACATCCTTAGGGCTTTTAATGCACAATAAATGATGTCTGTATATATTTGCAAAACGCATTTCAGTTGCTTAAATTTAATTAGTTTACAAAACAACTCTAAAACTATGTTTTCCTTTGTCATTGACATTACAAAGTGCAGACTGGTGGACAAAAAATGCATTCATGTGAAAAGTTTTCATCCCTCTGAATCTCACTCGTATGTTACTTACTAGTCTCTCCTCCACTGCATCTCTGCCTCGTAGTAGCAGGGATAATCTCCCTCTTTGCACTCCGTCAGGTCAGGAACACGACGGAACTTCTGGTGGTAGTACACGATCTTGTTTTTAGCCCGAATACTGTCAACAGCATCTGGGCGAAGGAAGGAAAGGGTTCAAAGCTCATATAAACTCAGTCCAGGCTGAGTAAGTTGTACCATTGCTAGCATAAACATCTCACTAACCGCGGACTTCTACCGCAAAACCTGACATCTACTCGCACAAAACAAAGCTTGTAACTTATCTAGATTTAAATAATTCAGTGGAAGAAAAAGCACCACTTTAAATAAACCATCATGCGTATACAGCGTCCTCAGTTCCTATGCTATGTTGTTGAGCTACCCTGTTAGCCGAGTTAGCTTCCAGTTACCTCTAAATGTGGTGACAGGCAGGTCCACGGAATAATAGAAGAGCTTAGACAAAATCAGAGCTGGGTTTGGCAGTGCTGTTTGTTTGTCCACAACCGGAGTCTGCCGAGGAGGCTCTGGGTATGCCCCTTTATCGTAGTCTGCAGGCATTTTTGTACCCTGTTTTGAGCAAAACTGAAAAACCCTACAATTCGACCTCGACAGGTCTCCTTTGGACGGAGCGCATGCGCAGGAAAAGCAACATAATGGCGAATTAGAGGTCAGCAAATAAAAGTGTTCGAACGTCCTTATGCCAGTCTTTATTATTGAATTAGAATTTTTACAAATAAAACCAACTTAAATGAAAAGTTGGAACGAGCTCACTTCAGTTTTCTTAAAATATGAAAGTCGAAGGGTAAAGGTCGCAGGTTGGACTGTTGTACTAGTTAGCTACAGTAGGGGGCGGCAGAGAGCCGACTATGATAACTTAAGGTGGGATGCAAAAGTCTTGAACCACCCTTCTTTTCTCAATATTTTGCTAGGAAAATGGGAAATTGTGCTTGAAAATACTTGTACTCATCAGTACTTAGCATGACAACTTTAATTCTTTAACATAGTCTGAACTTTCTTAGGTAAGCTTTATATCCAGTCTATTGTGATGAACCAAGATTTGAACCTGACTTGAACAAGAATTTCAAATTTGGATTCTATGCTATTCCAGACCTGTTGCCACAGATTTTTAGTGCACTTCTCGTGTATTTCAGCATACCTCAACCTTTTTTACCTTCACTAAAAATAGCCTCTTGACAGTCACCCCTTCCACTGAGACCATTTCAGCAAACAGTAGATGGGTCAGCTGAAGGGCCAGATTCATCTCTCAGGTCATGTGTCAGCTCTTTACTGGATCCCCTTGCCCCCTCTATTTCTTAAGGACATGAGTTTCTGAATCCATCGGTGTGGAGTGGTCCTGGGCTGAAAAAACGAAATCAGGTCAACATTGGTCACATGATCACATGACAGCGAAGACTTTCTTCCTCCTCCTCTCCTTTCTTGGTTGTACGGTTCCTGTCCACTAGGCCTCCCCACCACCTCAGACCTCTGACATTACCATCTTCCCTCCTCCTATCTGGTCAGGACTTGGCAGAGACTGTCTTGTTTGAAAGCGGATATGTCCCCTCATCTGGGCCAAACACCAAATTAGAGCCCTGTGTATCATCTTATGCATGACTCTAGCATCTGCACTGGTTTCTGTCTCTTTCTATCTGTCGCTGGGACAATCCGCAGACATGGTCAGTGCTCCTTGTGGTTTTGGTTGTTTTCTTCTTTAAAGGATAGTTAAAGCTGCACTTTTTGGACTGTCTTTGCCTGTGTGTGTAATGATTTATCACTTTCTTTGACCTTTTGAATTTCTAAGAGTGTATGAAGCACACTGAAATCTAGTACTGGCTACGCTTAGGAGAGCACGTGGAACACTGCGCTGGTGACCTTTTTTTCTATAACAAGACACCATCGTTTCAAGTTTTCTTAATTATTTTATTTGGATTTCTGAATTACATGAGATATGAAACAGAAACAGAGCGAAGCAGAAGCACATGGCCTGAATACAAAGGCAACAGATTGGAAGATCATGAAAGATGACTCGTTTTGTTTTCCGCTAACTTAACACTGTTAAAGATTTGGAGGAAGTTAAAGAAAATGAGGAAATTATCACAAACAGTTGCTCAAAAACATGACTGATGTCACCATATAATACAGTAACTAAAATGAATAATTTGTTTTGCTACGTAAATGTGTGCTACACCTTTAGTATAAAGTGATGTGGGTGTCTCCCACCACTGATGTGTACATTCAAATGTACACATCTGGATACGTGTGGACATCAGCTTATGTTGTACACTGGCAGTGTGTTTATGACCTGACAAATAATCAAAATGAGATGGTAACTGTAAAAATGAAAGTAACACTAAACACCCATGGGTTATCTAAATGTCATCAATTTGGGCGTGCACCAACTCTATTGTGGCTTTTCAGTCTCATCGCAAATTCCATGCTCCTCGCCACGGGCACATGGGGTTCCTGCCTTGCAAGCGAAGCAAGAAGCACAGGGGGAGGGTGCGTTCATGGCCCAAAGATAACCCCAGCCATCCCGTCCACCTCACTGCCTTCCTGGGATATAAGGCGGGCATGACCCACACGCTGAGAGAGGTGCACCGCACTGCCCTCAGTATGTAAACATTGATGGATGCAAGACTTTAGAAAATCTGTTATCTATTTAGTATATAGCATGGATTTTTTTAGAGATGTAAATAGAAATTGAAAGTTGAATAAAATCAAATGATACAGAAAGAATAAAGTGAGCACTGCTCAGGCTGCATTCAAGCTGTTAGTGTTAAAAACTGAAAGCCTGCTTTGATTTTGTGCTGAGGCTAAACTTAAAACGCATTCCTTCACGTCTCTTTTGTTTCGCATATTTTTTTTTACCTTTTTATCACCCTCTGTTTACCTGCTGCATGCTTCACTGACTTGAATCTGTCAGTTTTCCTAGCAGGATCTGCCTCCTTCTGTCTTCCACAGAGCAATCAAAGCGAGAAGAAGTTGAGGCGGTGACCATCATCGAGACTCCGCCTGTCATTGTGGTGGGTGTTGTGGGATACATCAAAACGATCCGTGGTTTGCGCTCCCTGAAAACCATCTTTGCTGAGCACCTGAGTGACGAGTGCAAGCGCAGATTTTATAAAAACTGGTATGCGCGTGTGATCATTTAAAGCTTTCCTGTTCATAGAAGTAATTGACCCGTACATACGCTCTTGTCACACTGTTGTTATGCGCTGAGCTTTTCTGTGTTTCAGGTATAAGAGCAAGAAGAAGGCCTTCACTAAGTATGCTAAGAAGTGGCAGGATGAGACAGGCAAGAAGCAGCTTGACAAAGACTTCAATGCCATGAAGAAGTACTGTTCAGTCATCAGGGTTATTGTTCACTCACAGGTAGGTTCTAAAATCACCATCCTGTATCACATTAGCTCCGTTTTTAGTTTTCCATCTGATTTCATCGGCTAGTATAATCACTGATATTTATTTACTTGATCTCCTTCTGTTAAATCTCTCCCTTGGAGGGGGCAGAGGTGTCAGAGTTATCCAACTGCCCACATGCAACTGAGACAAAAGCCTCCAAATCCCCAAACTCTTGGGTGTCGGTAGCTGGATGGCTCTGACTACAACGATTACCCTGTGGGGAGCACTGGAGGGCAGTTTCAAATAGCAGTTTATAAATAATTTTCACGGGGGATGAAGGCCACTGACAGAGTCTTTGCCTTTATGTTGGCAGCATGAAGCCAAAGATCAGCCAAGATTTCAGTTCTTAAAATCCTGCTAAGATCAGCCTCAGCTCATGAAGAAACACATCAACATGCACATATAAATATCAGAGTTGTTCCGAGTGACTGGTGTTACATCTGAGAGTTCAAACATGGCCACATGCTGAATAATAAATCTAATTATAGTAACTTGAAAGCCAGATGCTTTTCAGTATGCTTCTCAAGCTCTGCACTTAACAACATAGTTGTTTTAGACTTGGGAGCTGCTTCTGTTTGCAGCTTGCAGGCTTCCCTAATTAGTTTTCATCTGCCTCCAGATGCGACTGTTGCCCTTAAGGCAGAAAAAAGCTCACGTCGTGGAGGTGCAGCTAAATGGGGGTACCATCTCGGACAAGGTGGACTGGGCGAAGGAGCACCTGGAGCAGGCTGTGCCCGTATCTGCCGTCTTCTACCAGGATGAGATGATTGATGTCATCGGTGTCACGAAAGGTCATGGCTTCAAAGGTAGGAAATGTGCTGTGGCAGCCCCATGCGTTGAAAAGTTTAATCAGTAATAAACCGGAAGGTCCAACCATGACTTTTACGTTTTTGGGCTGATAGGCGTGACAAGCCGCTGGCACACAAAGAAACTCCCACGGAAGACTCACAAGGGTTTGAGGAAGGTGGCTTGTATTGGAGCCTGGCATCCTGCCCGTGTGGGCTTTACTGAAGCTCGCGCTGGTCAGAAAGGCTATCATCACCGCACTGAGATCAACAAAAAGGTTTATAGCTTTAAGAACTTATTTGTGCACACCTAGTCACATTTCTAAAAATGTTTGTTGGTTGCCTAAACATCTCTTTAAATAAGGAGTATTATGAATTATTATTATTAGTATGAGGGGTTTTCCATAATTGAAATCTTGATGTCCTCTTTTGTTTTCTCAGATCTACCGTATTGGTAGGGGTCTTCACATCCAGGATGGAAAAGTGATCCGGAACAATGCGTCTACTAACTATGACATCAGCCAGAAAACCATTACCCCCATAGTACTCCCAGCTTTGTGTTACAGTATCATATTGTGCATGAAAGTTTTCTCGTATCCAAAGTCGATATTTATAATGTATCAACAGTAATGTAAAACGAAGAGTTTGCATCAGGTGAGATATTTTAACCTTTATTACATTTATGTCATAGGGAGGCTTTCCTCGCTATGGTGAAGTGAATAATGACTTTGTCATGGTGAAAGGCTGCGTTATCGGGGCTAAAAAACGTGTCCTCACCCTTCGAAAGGTAGGGTGAGGAATTTAAAGTCTTCAGCTCTTACAGGTATCATTCGTGTAAGTGTACTGTTTAACGTTTGTGGCTGCTCCTCCTCACAGTCTTTACTCACGCACACATCGCGTAAGTCCAAGGAAGGCATCGAGCTCAAGTTCATTGACACCACTTCCAAATTTGGCCATGGGCGCTTCCAGACAGCCCAGGAGAAGAGAGCATTTATGGTGAGTGTGAAAAAACAACCAAAAAGAAAAAAACAACCAAAAAACCCCAACTGAATACCAGGAAGCAAAGATTTTGAACGAGTGAGGCAAAATAACTGCACAATACGATTCAAATGTTCAAACTATCCACTGATGACATAATAAAATCTGTAATTATTCTGCTGTATTTTAACTCCCGACCTCTTGTTTACCTGCAGGGGCCTCTGAAGAAAGACACCCAAAAAACAATGCCAGGTCCTCTGCCAGAGGAGGCCTGAAAGTGTGGATTATAAACCCTACAAAACAATAAAATGTGTAAGTTATACTTGAGTTTTGTGTTTTAACTGCATTTGTGTTTCTAATCAATAAGGAACACATGAGGAACGTTTTCATCAAATTTTATTCTCTCCTGGATGGATGGACGGATGGATGATAGTTGGCTCAAACAGCATTCCCTTTTAAAAATACATCAATAACCCTTTAATTTTGTGCAGTT